GGTAATAAAAAGATGACTTGGCGAGAGATGCTCATGCAACACAATGGTGAAACAGATGACTGGGAAGGAATGGATTGGAATTTGGAAGAAAATGTTGATCAAAGTGCACCTGCGGAGGAAGAGGATGTGAATTATGGTGGGATTAAAATGTGGACAGAGGAAGATGGTAGAACTCATTTTGGTTGTACTAGAAAAGCAAGAACAAGAATGCTGAAGGTTTGGGAAAAAGCTCTCATTGTAAAACTACTTGGAAGGAATACAGGAGTGGCTTTCATGAAAAAGAAGATTGAAATACTATGGGCTAGAGCTGGAAAGATTAACGTTACAGATGTAGGTAATGGATTCTATGTGGTGCAATTTAGCAACAAAGATGATCTTCTTTTTGCTCTAAATGGTGGTCCTTGGATTATTTTAGGCCATTATTTATCACTCCGACGTTGGGAGCCAGCTTTTAGACCAAATGCTGCAAGTGTGATGAAGATTGCAGCTTGGGTGCGATTACCGGGTATCCCACTGGAGTATTATGATGAAGCCTTTTTCCGCCGTATTGGTAACTGGCTAGGTAAAATGTTGAAGATCGATAAGACAACTAATGAGCATGTAAGAGGACAGTTTGCTCGAATTTGCGTGGAACTGGATCTTGCTCAGCCTTTGAAGGGTGAATATGTGTTGGACGGAGCAACTAAACAGATAGAATATGAAGGTTTAGGCCTTATTTGTTTCCATTGTGGGCGCTATGGACATAGTAAAGATTGTTGTCCTGAGATACCAGTTGAAGGAAAGGATAATCAGCAAAATCAAGACGGGATAAAAGATGAGGCTGAGTTTCAGAAAAATGGATTAGGTCCTTGGATGGTGGTGCAACGTCAACGTCGATCAAAAATTCAAACTCCAATGGCGGACAACAGGAAGCAGGAACCGGTTCGAAGGGAATCAAGGCGTAATCAAGGGAGTAATCAAGGGAGTAATCAAGGGAATAATCAAGGGAGTAATCAAGGGAGTAATCAAGGGAATAATCAATGGAGTAATCAAGGGAGTAATCAACCGCAATCAAATCAGCTTGTTATGATTGATAATCAATCAAATTCCCGTTACGCTGCTTTAATGGGCTCTAATGAAGATGATATTACTCATGATATCCCAGCGACTAATCCGGATGCTGTTATAAATGACGTCAATATGGTGGGCTCTCCTGTTAATATTGATATTAGTACATCTCAAGGGTCCAAACACAGAAACCCTAGAAGCCGTCCTAATGTTGAATTACAGGAACACCCCAACCGATTTACGTTAAGTGGGATTACGACAGGTCATGAAAAAGAAAATCAAATAAATGGGAAGATAGTTGACAGAGGTACCTCAAACAATAATACAACGAACTTGAGGAGGCAAGTTGCGATTCATAATAGTAAGGACATTGGAGGTAAAAGCGGTGGAGATTCCATGGTGGCTAGGAGTACTGTTGCTGATTATAACAAAGATTGTTATCAAATGGAGGTGGATAAGGATGGTCAAAATATCAACGGCTTAGATCATGGCTTGTCCCAACCAAAAGCGCCTGATCCAAGTAGAGATAAAGGAAAGCATATCCCAATAAACCATAACCTCAATATTGAGGTGGAGATGATTTCAGAATCTGAAACTCAGTGCAATGACAATGGGATGGCAGTGGACCCACGATCCTGCCAAATTACCATTGATTAATGTCTTTAGTTACATGGAATTTCCGCGGGGCGGCTAAAAAGTGCTTCAAATCAACGTTTCAAATGATGGTTCGAAGGCATAAGATTGAGGTGGCAGCTATTCTTGAACCTCGAGTAAGTGGTTCAAAAGCAAAACAGATAATAAAAAAGCTGGGTTTTAATAATTCAATAGTGGAGGATGCTCATGGATTTACGGGAGGTCTTTGGTTACTATGGAATAATGATAGGTGTCAGGTTCAAGCATTAAAACAGACCCATCAATTTATTCATGTTCGTGTTACATTGGCAGATCATCAAGCTTTTCTTTATACTGTTATCTATGCAAGTCCTAGAGAAGAAATTCGGAAGAGACTTTGGGATGATTTACTTCAGTTATCAGAAGATATCTCGGTTCCTTGGTTAATTGCAGGTGATTTTAATGAAATTGCCTTTCCAGGTGAGAAACGTGGTGGTGCTCCAGTTGATACTAGCAGATGTAATAAATTTGCTTCTCTTCTAACTGATATAAAGATGATTGATCTTGAAGGAATAGGTTCTAAATTTACATGGCGAGGACCAAGATTTCTTCATTTAGATAGAGTCTTTAAACGTTTAGATCGAGCTTGTAGCAATGCTGAATGGAGGTTGATGTTTCATGAAGGCCAGGTTCGAGTGCTTCCTCGTATTAACAGTGACCATAATCCTATCCTTATTACCTTAGAGCCAAGCAAAGTTGATGGGGTGGAACGCCCTTTCCGTTTTCATTCTTTTTGGTTAGATCATCAATTTTTTAACAATTTCATCAAGGAAAACTGGCGTCAGGATCAAAGAACAGTTGATAGTCTTCGTGATTTCACTCCTCTTATTAAGCAGTGGAATAAAGATGTGTTTGGTAATATCCATCATAAGAAGAACAGGTTGATTGGTAGGCTTGAAGGTATCCAGAGGGCAATTTCTGAGCAGAATAAAAGCCATTTGGAAAAGATTGAAGGCAAGATAAGGGGTGAACTTGAACAAGTTTTAGAACAGGAGGAACTTTTGTGGTTTGAAAAGTCTCGTGCTACTTGGATAGCTCAAGGAGATAGGAATACAAAGTACTATCATACGAAAACAATTGTTAGACGTAGAAGGAGCAAGATCTTGGAGTTGAAAGATGATGCTGGAAACTTGATTAGAGAAGATCACAACATTGCACGAGTAATAAATGCTTACTTCTCTAAACTATTTTCTGAAGAAAACCATGATCGTCCTTGGGTCCAGACTCTTTGGCCAAAGGTGGACGATGAGACTGCTGTTAACTTAGGTGCTCCAATTTCAAAAGATGAAGTCAGACGAGCTTTCTTTTCTATGAAAGATTCGAAAGCTCCAGGGGAGGATGGCTATACCGCAGCATTCTACAAAAAGAACTGGGAATTTATTGGTGAACAGATTTGGAGAGATATCAAGTATTATGCAGAAAACCCTTCCAGCATTGAGGAAGTCAACGGTACTCTGATCACTTTGATCCCCAAAGTTCCTAAGCCAATGTATGTTTCTCAATTCAGGCCTATTTCTTTGTGTAATGTCATTTATAAGGGTATGAGCAAGATCATTGTGGATAGGCTTAAGCTTACAATGGAGAATTTAGTTTCTCCTTACCAAGCTAGCTTCGTGCCAAATCGTCAGCTTCAGGATAATATTATAGTAGCAAAGGAGCTGGTTCATTCTATGGGGAGAGTAAAAGGAAAGAAAGGTACAATGGCAATCAAACTGGACCTTGAAAAAGCTTATGATAAACTCAGTTGGAGTTTTATCTATAAAGTGCTTATTGAAGTTCAGTTTCCTGATTGGATGATTGGTGTTATAATGGCTTCTATAACTTCTAATCGTTCGAAGGTCTTGATAAATGGTGTGGCTTCGGATTGCATAGTTCCTCAGAGAGGAATTCGTCAAGGGGATCCAATATCTCCTTATATTTTTGTGTTGTGTGTTGAGAAGCTTTCCCACTTGATCGCTGAAAAAGTGACTATGGGTTCGTGGAAGCCTATTAGAGTCTGCAGAAGAGGGCCGAGTGTATCCCACCTTTTATTTGCAGATGATATCATTCTCTTTGCGGAAGCAGATATGGAGCAAGCTAAGGTGATTATGGATTGTATTAATCTCTTTTGTGAGATGTCGGGGCAAAGTGTTAGTGCAAATAAATCTTTGATTTATTTTTCCCCGAATACTGATACTCAAGTTGCTACAAGGATTGTCAACAGAATGGGCTTTAAGCGCACTTCTAGTATTGGCAGATATTTAGGCTCTATTGTTAAACAAGGGAGATATATTAAAGCAGACTATGGAGCTATCAAGGATAGGATACGTTCAAAACTGGATGGTTGGAAAAGCCATTGCCTTTCTTTTGCTGGTCGAGTTACTTTGGTGAAATCGGTCATTGCTGCAATCCCTTCTTTCCATATGCAGAATGGTCTTTTACCAGTAACGTTTTGTGATGAAATTGAGCAGATACAAAAGGCTTTCATTTAGGGAGATCAGGATAGCAGAAGGCGGGCTCATTTAGTAGCTTGGGATCAAATGTATAAACCCAAAGATAGAGGTGGTTTGGGAATAATTAACCTTCGACTCCAAAATGAAGCTTATATTCATAAACTGGCGTGGAAGATGTTAACTAAGAAAGATGATTTATGGGTTAAGATTTTAGTAGCCAAGTATGGTAGAGGTCAAGACTTAAGGAGAGGTATAAAGGCAAAATCATATGACTCTAAACTTTGGCGTGATCTTGCTAAATGTTGGAGTAATTTCCTTGCTGGTCTTAGATGGGAAATAACAGATGGTTCTGAAGTAAAGCTTTGGACTGATAACTGGTTGGGATGGGAGGAAAATTTGCAGCAGTTGTCGAGCAATCAGATGCCGTGGGAGGAGAGTCAGAAATCAATTGCAGATTACATGGTGGATGATGGTTTCCGTCTTGAAGTTGTTCATCAATTTCTGGAGTCAGATTTGGCTGATGCAGTAACAAATCATCTCAGGCTTATTCCAAGGAATGGGGAGGATAGATTAGTTTGGATCAATAATCATCACTCAACTTCTTTGGTTAAGGTCGCTTACTGTAATCTTATGAACTTCCCAGCAGATGTTCACACTAGCTTATGGAAAAAAGTTTGGTCGTGGAATGGACCAGAACGAGTGAAAGTGTTTATGTGGATGACTTTGCTTGCTAAACTTTCAGTGCGCAGCAGAACCAGTAAGTGGAGCGGAGGTTCAAATGTCTGTCCCAGTTGTCCAAATCATGAGGAAACTATTATTCATGTTCTTCGTGATTGTAGACATGCTAGGAAAATTTGGCAATCTTGGTTTACAGGTTCGATACCCAATTCCTTTATGAATTCGAATTTGCAGGATTGGTTGACTTTAAATATCGATAACATGTGGTCCTCCAATAAAGTGAAGGACTGGAGGGATATTTTCTTTACTACTTGTTGGTTTTTGTGGAAGTGGAGAAATTTGGAGATCCATGAAGATCATTTCTGTCATGATGAGCAATCACAGGCTTCAATTTGGATGTTTGTCCAACAGATTCTGCAAGCCCGAATTTATCAGCGCCGTGGTGATTCCAACGATAGCGTTTGGACAGCCCCAAGCAAGGGTGGGTTAAGTTGAATTGTGATGGAGCTTCTTCTAGTGGCATGAAAAAAGCTAGTTGTGGTGGTATATTAAGAGACCACAATGGATCCTTTTTGGGAAGCTTCTATTGTAATTTAGGTTCCTGCAATCCTCTTGATGCAGAATTATGGGGATTACTGAAAGGTTTGGAACTGCTTTGGGGAACAGGATTAAAAAGAATAGAGCTAGAATGTGATTCTAGCCAAGCCATCCAGATGTTAAAGGAGCAACATGAAGATCCTAGGGACTCTCAAGTCACTAGCAGATTGAGATTATGGTTAAAAGCAGATTGGACTATTCATCTTGTTCATACCAAGAGAGAAAACAACAAATGTGCTCATTGGTTAGCTAAAGCTGGGCAGACTAATAATCTCCATTTCAAGATTTTTAAAGATCCTCCTCCTCAGTTGATGGAACTTATAGTTGCTGATGCTAGAAATATGTCTAGCTTGTTAGTTTCTGATTTGTAATTTCTTTGTGTTTCTGGGGCTTAGCCCCTCTTTATTTACAAAAAAAAAAAATATACATGTCCCGAGTCGTTTGTATTTTATTTTATTAATTCGTGATGTTTCTTTTATTTTTTAGATTGCTTTGCTTTTCATAACAATGAATAAATTCCTTCTCTGTAACTGCAAGGGTGAATACGTAGTTTTTTAATGTTTGAATTAATTGACCATTCATAAATTGATTGATTGATTTATTTTTAAACTCTGTAAATAGTTAATGCCTTCCTTCTAAGAATTTAAGTTATGGAAGATTGTTGAATTGCAGTGCATATTGCATTTGTTCAACCAGTTTTTGTATCATGTATGTATAGTAAATAGTAAGATATAAAAATATAATAAAAAAAATATAATATCATATAAATTTAAATTCAAAAAGAATCCAATCAACAAAATACATAAGTAACTAAAGTTTAAATCAGTTATTCTCCTACTCATCAATCATCATGACTAATATTATCACTATCAGCATCTATAGTGATATAACTAATACTGATTTTTACTGATTGATTTTTGAATTTAAATCATAAATCATTAATCAAATCTTTGTTTTTTTTCTCTTATTAATAATTATTTTTCAAATTTTTTTAATATAAAAATTGTCAATTTTGATTTGATTTTCATATCATACTATACACAATTTGATATTGTAAGTCTGATACAAGACCCAATCTGATACAACAAACTGATACGTATCACAAAAATGCGAAATCATATCGTATCGCATGATATGTATCATGCGATACTAGCAACTATGAATCAAATAGTTTTTTTATGAATCAAATAGTTTTTACTAATTGAAGATGATTTATATGAAAAAGAATTGGGTATTGATTAATTTAAGAAATCTCCCTATCAATTAATTGATCAAATA